ATTTAAAATTGTAAACTATATTTACATAAATTGTATGTGCGTGATTGTAAAACGAATTTCCAATTTCATGCTCGAAATCTCTTCTCTTCTTTAAGGGCTGGTTGACATCGATGTGGCCGCATAAAATACAGTTTGTAACTAAACGAAATAGTTCTAGGCATTTGAAGCAAAATTCTGCTATATTTATGATATTTTACGAACGACGCAGTCAATGTTAGAGATATATTTTTGACCTGAAATGTTAAGAACCCTAATCTATACTCATTTTCTTAAATTTATTATGTAGTATTTGACTACTGCAATAGTAAAATAATCGAAGTATTAATTATGATGGAAATAAACCTTTTCTGAGGAGGGTATCTAATTCCAATACGTAAGCCGATGTGCTGAAAGTGTTTGCCTTCTTTTTTAGCCAACCGTTCGTATGTTCGTCTGTTGTTTTTTCGCCTCTCTGCTTCTCAACCTTGACGTCCATCCGTGAATAACCCCATTTTTTACCTATGTTATATTTCATACTGTTTAACAGTACCTTGTAATTGAAGGAATATTTGTAAACTAAGTAGCAACATATTATTATTATAATCCTTGATCACCTTCCTGCGAAGAAAATACTATCTATTTTATTCAATTTTCATATTTACCAATGTTTAATACTTTGAAACAATACGTGTGTACTAGATATTTATATTTCATCCATTTCATTTTAACCTAGTTTCACGAAATTGTAATATTTATTAGCTCAAAGTTTTTTTGAAGTGTGGCAAACTGTCAACTTCAGCAATTAAAGTTAATTCAGTTATATAATAAAGTTTTAAAAGTACCCATCTAACCTATCAGAGAGCAAATACAACTTGAAAAGAGAAGAGATGTCACTGAAACTTGATGTAAATAAAGAGTGTCGAGAAGATCGCGGCGTCCGGTCGCTCGGCGCGGGCGTTGGGTCTCAGGGGGAGTGAGAGGCAGGGTATAAAGAAATGGGGAAAGAGAGCTGCAAGGAGGAGGAGATGGCAGAAAAATGAGGAGAATGGTTGATGTGGCTGAAACGTACACCGACTGCATCCCGCATTCATCTTTTCCTACGCTATTTACCGACCTATCCAAAAAAGGCACAGACCGTGTCCATCACATTCTGTTTTACCCTTTAGTACGAGAATCGATTTTTACTTGTCATCTGAATTGCATTAAATCACATTGATCAATTATAATTGATCCACTTCTGTGTGTTTTCAGGAAATTTTTACATGAACTTTTAGAGCACGGCCAAAGTTGAAAACCATCGCTTAAAAGTTTGTGGAAACAAAACATCAAATCACCTAACACGAGGTCCTTCCTCCTTAAGTCTCCTTCGTACCTCGCTGACTTAACATGCGCAATTCATAAGATTCTGCCATGTTGACGTGTGCTTGAGGTTTCCTCTGCTCTAGTGCGAGAACATCCATATGCAATACTAATGAAAGCAACGGAAATGTTTACTCCTTCCGAAACAACGGATGAACGAAATGAGATGGAGTCCGTATATGTCTTCTCAGGTAACGGAAAGTGAAAGAGGGATTAGCTAGGAAGCAGAGTGAGGAAAAACTGAGCGGGGGATGCAGTCGGGCGATTCACTATGGCGAAGTTGAAGAGTAAGAAGGGAGAAAGATTAGGAGGGATGTGTGGAGGCGAGATAGGAAGTCGGGAAGTTGAGATTGGAAGAAGGGAGAGGTGAGATGCAAGGTGGAGGGAGGAAAGAGGGAAAAATATAATAAAATGATAAGGGAGGGGACATCAACCCCGAGGGGGAAGTGAGGTGGGAGGTAAAGTGTACGCGTGTGGATTTGAGGGGAGGTGGAAAAAACAAGAAAAAGAAGTGACTCGAGAGAAAACAAGCGCCGTAGATGGGAAAAGTACAGAGGAGGGCGAAGCAAACGGGGCCCCGGGGGCAGGGCGAAGGTTCTCAGCGCTTCCCCGCCCCACGCGCTCCCCGCGGCGCAAATCCCCGGCTTGGGCGCTGACGCACGCGCCGCCCTCGGCCCCGCC